ATCAAACTATGCCGATCCCACTTTAGGTCATTTTTTTATTAGCCAAGAAACGTTCCGAGCGCCTGTGGCTTGAAGACCTCCAATCATACAATGCCACCGAGGCAAGTGATGGCACTTTGCTGTAGCGGATACGTCGTATATCAAACTACCACCCCTTTACTTATACCAACGTAACTTATGCACATCTACCACAGAAAGTTACCGGAATGACCAATTTACCTGCCTTTCGTGTAAATTCATAAAACGGTATTTTCCAAACACAATTTCAAGCAGCCATCTTGTATGTATGTTTGTTTGTAGTTTGTGATCTCCAAAAGTCGTTGACCCTTTTTCAAGACATATACATATATCACTTAAACAAATACAAAATATGCTATATACTTGTATAAAATAGTAACTGTACTATTCAAATATTATTATAATCTCAGTCTATATTAAAAATGAGAGCTGTAAGTGCTTCTTTTAATAACTGATGGTGTCAAATATTTACGAACGAGGCTAATCACTTATCGCGAGACTATGCGAGACGTTGAACCAAAACATTGATTCATAGCAACGCAACACCAAAGGCTGCTGTAGTAATATTCCGGTTCATTACCAGGTAAAATTCTATTTCTAAGACTTCTCGCAGAAATAAATTGATGTTACCCATGTTGTTAATCTGGCTGTTTCCCATTCGTGTTAATTATTTAATTAGTCCCGCATTCGTAAAGCTGTGTTTACCGCTCCACGTTTGGCAGCCTGAGTGTACATCTAAAACGTTACCTCCACTACTAAATGGTGTCATTGCTTTCGTTGTTTTTCATAGTTTGATACATTTTAATGTTGTAACTTCACTATTCTGTTCAGTTTTCTAGCCCAGTTGTCTGTAATATGGACGAAATCACTGATTACTAGTATTTACTGTGAACAAAATGCAAGCCAACTAACAGCATTGCAATAAAACTCACTTTTTGCAAACAAAAATACAATATTATTAGTTCAAATGTAACAGTTGTAATGGTAAGATGATATTAAAATTACTACCTGTACTCTGTTAGCAAAACAACGAACTAAATTGCAGTACTGCTGGCTGAGTTGCTTTTTCATTCACAGTAAATAACACAATTAATTTTAACTGTTTTATAGAAATGGCAAGCTTATTTTGTATTTCACAGGGAATATATGTCACCTATGATGTCATGCTACATTTGTATGGCTTCCCAAAAGTG